CCTTCCCGTTAGACGCCGGTAGACAGGCGCTGTCGACCGGTCCTGGCCTCGCAACTTCCTCCTCCTGTCTACAGCCCCATCCCAGTGTGGTCGACCCCACCTCCAACGCAGCCAGCGTTGGCGATGAGCGGAGTTGTCTCACTGGTGCACTGTCACAGCACACCAATGTAACTACGGTCTCCAGTCCGAATTCCCCCGTTTCCATTCACAATACCGGTTAGGACCCCCCCATTTTTACTCTTCGCTATAAGACAAAGGCAATTTTGCCATTTTCCTCCTTTTTGCTGCGTCCTTCAGCACTTACCTTCAAATGAATGGTGTTCTGGATTTTACGGGTGATCAGTCAAACTACCTGCATACAACTGACTTACACAGTGGTTAAGCAGTTTGAACCAGTGGAAAGAGAAATCTGTGACATTTGTAGCAGTAAAAGCTATCGAGGAAGGATGTGTAGAGCAATTAAGGCCATTTTCCTGCACTTGTTTCCATGTTAAAATGCGTGCTGCACAGGTATCCGAAGAAAAACAGGCCACGCAATGGACGTTCGTTTAAAGATTGTTTGGAAGTAATATATTTAAATAACTTTGTCTACTTACAACTTTATAGTAACATGTTCCTTAACATATATTGTTTAGAACATCTTTTCTTTGGTGCAACTTTGAAGTTTGCGTAAACAGCAGAACTTATTGGATCCATAAATCTCGGGAGTGCTCATCAGCTGCTTCCTCTCGCTGCATAACGTGATCAACTTACTAGAAAATACAAAATTGAATTCGTACAGAAAAATCAATGTGAACAGCAAGTTCATAGGAAATGGCCAGAATTCCTGCAGTCTAATTTTAGAAAATATTGTTATATTTAAATCATGGACGATAAACAGATTTCACTTGCGCATTTGCTACTTAGCCTGGTCGGATGGATACCATTGTAGTAGTGCTAATCTGGCCACCCAGAACAATAAACGCATGGAATTGCAGCTTGTTCTGAACTCAGTTTCTTCCTTGTTCCTGGTTCCCAAGTAATCTTTTCTGTCTAATTATATTTCTTGGGATGCCTATTTTCAAATTCATAGTGCGTCCTGTTAAATATTTTTTGAGAGTAATTTACGATGCCTTTGAAAGTTCTGAATTTTCTTAGGCTACTTGGCGACAAATGTAGCTACTGCTTCCACCAAAGACCCATAATGTACATAGGTGTACACCAATCTGGTCCAAGATTCACCAACCCTGGCTGCTTCGTCTGGCGAGGAGTGGACACTTCCAGTTTACTTTTCTCGAGGACGAAACAATTATGTTACTCGCTAATGTATTGGGATTGCACCGCTGTCCCCTTCAGAAGGAGCCACTCTGCTTTCAGATAAATCGTTGGAGCGTTGGAACCCCTCTGAGAAAAGTATGAACCAGTTACCTTCGGTTTCCGAGGAAACCACCAAGAGGCTTTCTGAAGTAAAAACCAGTCATAGCTTTCACCACCCAGTTTTCCTACAGCGCACTATGACGACAGTGTTGCACATATCGAGTTGTGCATTCAATTCCGATCGAAGTGTCCTAATAGGGTGATTCTCAACTCCTAAGAAAGCCAACCTCAATTCTCTACGAAGTATCTTGACGTGGACAAGTCTCAGACTGTCAAGCACGCAATCGTTGTTCATTTGTGGAATTGAACCTATCAAATCTGCGACAGTGTAATAACTTCTCATGATTGCTGGCAAACATTTCGCCCAAATGCCCTACAGTAGTCTAGATTAAAGTCTTATTTCAGAGAATTAATTTAATTTCCAAAAAACGTGGATTTACCGATATTGCCTTTGTGCGAACCCACGGCAAGGACGCCATGTGAACATTAGATCAGTCTGCTTTGCGGCCTTGGTAGGTTATGGAACTAGGTATCCCCGTCTCGCATGTGGCTTTGCTCTAAATTCAAAGGGAGAGAGAGGGGCAAAGACTGGAGGTGGCAAATATTTGCCTCACCCAGAGGGCCACCTGTAATACGGGGAAGCGCCCCCTATTTCTGTGTCAAGTCCTGGCCTTCCACTACCCAAAATCTGAAACTTAAATGACAGGGTTGCTATAAGTCCGTTTTCTACGTAAACACTCCAGTGAACTACAACTTCTTGCCTTCGTTAAAAGTGTCCAATGCCTGTAGTAGGCCACATTATTTGCGTCCATATCAAGCAATCT